GAATTGTTGGCTATGGAATTCTAGTGAATCAGTTGATAAGCTAATAACAATATTTTCATGTGTACCACCAAACCCTGTCTCGCTTGGAGAGCAGACATTTTGCCTGTTGTGACAACATCCCTAAATATTCGGTCTAATTTCACCTCGAACTCGGGTTCAAGCCCACAAAACTTAAACTTTTTGGCTGCGGGAATCACCTGCATAAAAAAAAACCATCAATCCCTTTAGTTAGTATGAAAAAAGTGAAATGACTCAAATTTAATCGGTTCAAAAATTCCTTATCGTAAGTCTTTCTATCCACCACTCTTCTGGAGCATCAATGGTACGCTTCACCAGGTCCCAACCCAAACCTGTTGAACCTCTTTTCAAATCTTTCTGAATTTTCCAATTCTTCTTCAATTGATCCCACTTATTTTTCATTTGCAGCCTATCGTACTCCCTACCTGTACATTCCTTGAAATTCTTAATAATATTATGTCACCCTTCCTTACTGAAAAAGGTGGTCGATCTATTGCCCAATTCAATTTCCTTAAGGCAAAAGTTGCAGAATATTAATTTTATTTCTTTTTCTCACAGTGTCGGTGTACCGTGCTCTTTGGACTTATTGGTCATTTTATTACTATGATAAAGCAAAACAATGATCGCGAATAGTAACACAATTTAGAAAATTAGACACAGCGTGATATGAATCAAATAATATGAGAAACAGCTATAATAAGTTTATAAAATACTTGAAATGCAAATCATATAAGAGTATAATCGAATAAGCTGCAAACTAGAATTCTATATTTAGCAAATCTCAAATATCAAAGATTGTTTAGAAACAATAATTTTGATTTCAAGGATAACTCAAAAACAATTTTTCATTTCTAATAATAATGATGGTGCTCAAATGAAGTCAAACTTGTTTAAGTACATATCATTTAAAATTCAACAAAGGAAAAGATCACTTCAAAATGTAGGATATATTTTTCATATTTGACTCAACACAATTTGCTAAATAAGGAAAATACCACTTCAAAATGTAGGTTATATTTTTCATAGTTAACTCAACACCATTTGCTAAATACGGCATTATATATGCATTGCTATACATGAGCACAAACAAAAAGTTCACATACAAAATCATGCTTAGATAGTAATAGACATACATATGCATTGAATCTTTTTAACATTATCAAAACAAGAATTACTTCTTAAAGAGAAATTTATTAAACAACATAAAAAAATCAAAATAAAGAGCAAGTTAACATTCTCATAGGAAAACACAAACAAGTTAAAATAAAGAGAACACTAACCTATTGAACAAATTCCAATAAAACAATACAAAGACAATAACCATAAGATCTATTTGTTATTCACACATGATATAATCTTCATTTCTAACCCCTAATTCACTTCCGATAGTTAAAACAAACACCATTTTCGCAGAGAAAAAAAAACCAGACAGCTGCAATTACTCATCAAAAACTTTTTTGATATTCCATAAATATTAATCCTTTGCCAGAGAAGCAGAAAATGCAATGAAGGAATACAAAAAAAATACTCTACAAGCTTCGTCGGAAGGAATGAGATAGAGAAGTGAAGAGGAAAGCAACCTTAAGCCAGGAATGTGACAGGAAGAAGGATTCAAAATTTTAGGGAATATGGAGTAAATGAAAAAAATATATACATGCGAGATCGTCGAAGAAGCCGAAGGAGGCCAGGAACGCGGGAGGAAGAAGGAGTCGGAGCTATTAAGGGAGGATCGTCGTTTGTTATCTATAAAATGAAGTAGAAACAAAAAAGGAATATGCAGACCTGCAAGATCTCCGAATAAGAAGAACCTTAGGGCAGGACGGGGGAAGGCAGCGAAGTCCTGAAGGAGGAAACATAGATGGAGGAAGATTTTTGGTGCGCAGGAGGGGAGATGGATCTTGGTGTGCGTGATTAGGGCAAGGGAAGAGTTCGGTCGAAGGGGGTATGCGGGTGGGAGCAAAATGATATTATTCACTTCAGAATGCGGGCCGCGGGGTATAACTCACAGTTCAACGTTTGGTCGAATTCTTCGACGCCAGCCCGTCACCGCCGCGCCAAACGTTAAAAAAAAATAAAAAATAGCGGTCAGGGGCCGCAGCGCGACAAAAAAGTCGCCCCAAACATACCCTCAACTTTAAAAAGTAATAATAGTTTTAATTATTATGTGATATTACAGACTTTGAGTGTAGTGTGTAAATATGAAAGTTTAGGCGTGGGATATGAAAATAAAAAAAGAATTGTGTGCTA